CTGCTACTTCTCCTCATCATCATCCGCTTCTGTTTCTCCTCCATCTTCTCCTCCACCATCCACCCTCTCACCACCCTCCCTCCACCTCCCCTCCTCTCGCCATTCTCCTCTCCACCACCCTCCCCCTCTCACCTCCCTGTCCCCCCATTCCTGATCTCGCCTCCATTTTCCTCTATCCTCCCTCCTCCTCAACTTCCGCCTGTTCCTGATTATGTTGCTTGGTCGCCTTTTCCTGATCCTTGTCATCTCCCTTCGAATTCGTATGATTCCCTGATTCCCTGGCGGCTCCTGTGCATCGGCCGTTCCTCGGACACGCCCCCTTCCTTCGGCGGCCGTACGCCACTTCCCGATGCGCAAGGCGGCCACTCGCAGGACGACGAACGCAGGAGACCCCCCCCCCCACCCCCCAATGACCAGAGAGGGTCCACCCGATTTGTGGACAGTTACCTCGTGAGAAACCGTCTGCCACGGCCTTTTCCCCGCAGGTCTGGCCGAGACACTGAGGGCCTCGGCCCAGGCCTCGTTGCACCCCTCTGCTCCGAGCTCCAGTCCTGCCCCTCCTCCGCTGGCCTCTGCCTCCTCTCCCTCTGTAGGTCCCCCGAGCTCCTCGCAGGCCAGATGTCTGGGCCGTCGTGAATTGCCAGGGGCGCTGCTGGATCTGCCGCATCAGAGCGCGCCCCATTACGGTCGGGAGCGTTTGCTTAGCGAGTCGCGGCGGCGGCGCTGGCGACACGCTATGCCGTGCAAGCGGATAGCGTGTCGCTCCGCTCCGCGGGGCGAGAGGCTGGGAAAAGCTCGGCGAGTGGACGTCAGGGGACCGCAAAGTGGTTAGCGTGTCGCGCCGAGGGGTGGTGGGCCAGAACCAGCGGCGAGACACTCTAAGCCCAAACCCACGAATGTAAATCAGGCAATTGCCCAGGCCACCTGAAGTATCTCTTTGACCTTGTGTCAGATCCCAAGCACATACGGAAGCTGTCGCACTAAAGACAGTCAGGTAAGTTAGCACGATTTGAGAATTCGGCCCGACGTCTCAAATCGCACAAAGATGCCAGACTATCGGCCCAGCCAGGCCAGGGGCCGTCCGCCCAGCCAGTCTGGGGAAAGGCGGCAGGTCGAGGGCGATGGGCGCAGCGTCGAGCGCCCGAAAACGAATGCTAGGGCCCCCCGCAGACGTTGACGAGAGTCCCCGCTCGAGAGTGTCAACGTCGCCTCGGGCGTCGGATCCGGGCACGGATCCGCCACAGATCCTATGCGGCTCCGAGGCTTGTTGGACGGATCCGATGCGAATTCGACGGATTTGGGGCGGATCCGAGTGGCGGGAAAATTCGCCGGCCCAACGGGCCAAAGGCGTGCTCAGATGTCCAGTAACAGGTAAACAATATTCCATCTTATAGTTCGCGCGCGCGGGGCGGCCCCTGGGGATCCCGGGGCGAGAAGTATCCCGGGCAGGTCCCTTGCAAGGTCCCGTCAGAGATGGTTTAGCTCCTGGGCACCATCACGGAACCTTCCAGAGACCCCCAAAAAGCCATCGAGATAGCCCAAGAGAGCCCCCAGTCGCCACAAGATCGCTCCTGGACGCCCAAGAGACCCAAGAGGCCTCCAAGAGGCCTCCCAAGAGAGCCCCAAGAGGCAACATTCGTTGATTGTCCAGTGATATTTGAAGGATTTTCGTGTTTTCACCTTTCCAGCTTCCCGACGCTCCAGCGCGGCCAAAGAGGCCCCCAGACCGCTCCAAGACGACCCAAGGATCTCCAAGAGGGCCCCACAACAGCCCCAAAACAGCCCAAGAGCCCCAAGACTGCCCAAGAGGCCTCGAAGACGGCCCAAGAGGCCTCGAAGACGGCTCCAAGAGAGGACCCAGACGGGGGACCCGAGCGGCCATTTCAAGCTCGTTGCCCGAAGAGGCCCCCAGGAGGCCCCAATAGGCCCCAAGAGGTCCCCAGAGGCCCCCGGGCGGCCCCCGTGAGGCCACAGGAGGTCCCACAAATGCCGCCAGGAGTCACCTTAGAGGCCTCCCAAGAGACCGCAAGAAGCCTACCAAAGAGACGTCTTGTCCACGATCAAGATTGGCTCCAAAATACCCCCAAGAAGCCAATGAGAGGCAAGAGGCGTCTTGTCCACGACCAAGGTTGGCTTCAAAGTACCCCCAAGAAGCCATCGAGAGGCCGCCTTCTCATCCTCATCCTCCCCTCTTCATCCTCCCTCTTTTGCTCCTCCTCCTCCTCCGCCTCCTCGCTCGCCACAAACACACCAACATATAGCACCAGAGATACTACGTGGGCCGGCTCAACGGGCCAGGAACGTGCAGTGATTGGTAGTCCCGGGAAACCCACAAAAGGCCCCCAGGACGGCCCCAAGAACCGTCAAACAACATGGGCCGGCGGAATGTGCGAAGCGAGAAAATAACGGGTTTGGCACGAATCCTGGACCGCTGTACCCTTGTAAAATATTGATTCAGGACAGCGAAGGACTCCGAGGACGACTTACGCAGGGGCACGGGGCTGGCGCGAGGCAGGGGGGGAAGGCGCCTTCTCGAACTCTACTCAGGCGCTCCTGATAACACTTTCCTCAAGCGGCTCCTTCTAGAATTGTCCTCAGGCGGCTCCCTCCAGGACTTTCCTCAAGCGGCTCCTCCCCCAACTAGCCCGTGGGAGCTCCTGACCGTGCCCGGGCGCGCTCGCGCCCGTGCACCTTCTTGAGGGCCAGACCCCGGTCGTGCGTTGTTTCTGTCACGCTTCAGGTCGAGGCAAAACGAACCAACTTTACCTGACTGCTTGTGCGTATGAGCACTATGAGCAAGCCGCCAGCTTCTGTGTTTGCGATGCGTGCGGATCAGTTGCCGAGTGATGAGGAGGGGTCAGTCCAAGCCATGCATGACTCTTCCCAAGTGTCATGGTGCAAAGCATCACTTTCTAATCGATCGATTGGATACGCATCCGAAGGGGTCAAGGGCCGCACGGTCTTACGTCTTTCCTGCACGCGCGTAGCTGGATGGAGGGTGCAATGGAGGGCTCGATTTCTGAGGGCGATACGTCGGAATAATACATGGTGGCGATAATTTGAGGGCAGTGTTTTTGGGGGCAGTGCATTGGGGCAACACTTGGGGGCAGTACGTGGGGGCGGTACTTGGAGGGGGGCAGTACATGGGAACAGCACTTGGGGGCAATCCATAGGTGCAGCATGGGAACAATACATGGGGCCTGTACATGGAAAGAAATCCGCTGACCCTGTCGGCATGTGTGAAACGTTGCTCCGTTTGGGTCGCCGTCTCCACTCTCCCCTTTCCATGTGCCCTCCTCCTCAAGAAACCCCGCCACGAAAATTGAACAACGTCGCAATCGAGTCGAGAGGAAGCCTCTTCACTTTGATCCCTTCCCCGCGCATAGGACGGGGGGTCCCAGGGGGTGACCCAGTGGGGCCCGACACCCCCCAGGCGGGTCCCCGGGGGTCGTGACCTCCCCCCTCCGACCCAGACGGCCCAAGAGTCCCACCAGAGCCCTAACAGGAGGGAACACCAATCGAGTGAAAGGAAGACCCTTATTCGCTTCCCCGCCCTGGGGTGGCGGCCCCGGGGAGGGAGCGGTCCCAGAGGGGGCCCCAGGGGCGGCACCGAGGTCAACAGGGCCCACAGGGCCCCCAGGTCAACAGGGCCCACAGGGCCCCCACGAGAGCTCGCGAGCGTCGTCGTCGTCGTCGTCGTCTTCATCGCCCTTTCAGAGTCGGCGGCACTGGCCGTAAGGCCTTCGCAATACTCTGACGTTGGGCCACGAAGCCACGCGCGGGTTTTGCGCCTGCCGCCGCCCCGTCACTCTTATCCGCAAGTGTGGGACGCGTGCGGTCGGAGACTTTCGCTTAGCGCGTTGCGGCGCCGGCCCCAATGGCACACTATGCCTTGCGAGCGGATGGCGTGTCGCTCCGCTCCGCGGGGCGGCAGGCTGGGCAAAGCTCGGAGCGTTGCCGTTTTGGAATGCAGACGCGGTGAGCGTTTCGCGCCGAAGCGTGGTGGGCCAGAACTGGCGGAACGACACGCTAAGCCAAAGTCCCTGGCCGCAGTAGGATACACACAATCCCGTTGGCTCACCTGGAGAGGCGCACGACGAGAAGCCAGCAGCATAGGAGGCATCATCAGTGCCCTCCAGCCACCACGGTGCGGCCGAGGAAACACCAATCGCACTCATCCCCCCGGGCGCTCGTCCACCCTTCCTCCCTCCCTCCCTCCTCCTCCTCCACCACCTCCACCTCCACCTCCTCCTCCTCCTCCTCCTCCACCCCCTCCCTATCTTCTACTCTGTCTACCTTCCCTCCCTCCTACTCTTACTCCTCCTTCCTCCTCCTTGTCCTCGAAGCCTCGATGTTGCGAACGGTTCTAGGTTTAGGTCGGGCCTGTCCCTCTACAGGGGGATTTTGGGCGAAAAAATGAAAAGTATCCAAAACATATTGAAAGAATGCTCAAAAATAGTCAACAAATCGTACCCAGACTATGTTTTAATGAAGATCCCTCCTGTAGAGGGACAGGCCAGACTGAACTCTAGGTCAAGCCTGGCACCCTCGCAGGCCCCCATGTACACTGGCCGTAAACAGGGTGAAAAAACGGGGGGGAGATCTCCCATCATGAACAAACAGTTATAAAGAGAGAAGACCTCCTCCTCCTCCTCCGCCGCCTCCTCCTCCGACCCTCCTCCCATTGTCCTCCTCCTCCTCCTCCCTCCTTCCTTCTTCCTCGCTCCTCCTTCCTCCGTCCTCCTCCTCCTCCGCCTCCTCCTCCTCTTCCTCCTCCTTCACTCTCCTTGACAAGGTGCCACGGCCAGGTGCACCTGTGCGCTCGCTGGCAGGCTGGCGAATGCCCCAAGTAGAACACATGTTACAATGACCCCGTGACTCTGCCAGCGACTCAGCCTGGGCTCACGGGTCGCCCACAAGTGTACGACTTTTCGCTAGCGACGGACCTTCTCCTCCTCCTCCTCCTCCTCTTCCTGCCCCCTCCTGCCAGAGGCGGTCTCCCCGAGCTCGCGGCTGCTGAGCAACGCCGCCGCGAGCTCGCCGCGCAGCAGACGGAGCAGCGGCGGGTGGTAAGGCGGGGGGAACCCGGGCTGCAGGAGCGAGTCCACGTCGATCGCCGGCAGAATTCCTGTGGCGGCGCGCCGAGAGTGCATGGCAGGGACGTTTACGGCCAAGCTACTAAGATAACGAATGATTTGTGTTTTTGCTTTTTTTTTTTTGTTTCTCTCTCTCTCTCTCTCTCTTCCCATGCACATGCGTATACACACTATTCACACACATCTGTATTCCTTCTCCAACAATAATATACCAGGGGATGGCCCCCACCTCGTCAGTACATACCGATGTTCGGCCCCTGGGCGACCCCCAAACGGACCACAAATGCCCCAAGAAGGTTCAGAACAGCTCCTGAATAAGTCAAGAGGGCACCGAAGCGCCAAGAGACGCCCCAAGATGATGTCAAACTGGCCCCGAGGCTCCCAATACGCTTCAAGAGGGCTCCAACGGGACCCCCTGGAGAGCCCTGAGAAGCCAAATAGTGTCTCAATCCCTTCGCAACACGTACATGTTTAGCATATGCGCTGCTTGTGTGCTCCCAGCGGTCACGGCGGCCCCACTGCCGTGCAATGTTTTAACACAGGCTCCACTCGAGTCCAAGAGGCGCCCAAGGGAGCTCAAGACAGCCCCGGGAGACGCCCAAAGGGTCCAAGACGGCCCCGGGAGACGCCCAAAACGGCCCCAGGAAGCTTCCAAGACGGCCCCACGCGCCCACAACAGCCCAAGAAAGCCCCCAAGCCGTCCTGGAACTCCTCGAGGCGCCCCACAAAGGGCTCCAGGAGACTTCCGAAAGGCCTTCAACGCTTCATAGAGCTTTTCCGAACGCGCCCGAGAGACTTCCCAGCGATTCCTGTACAAACCCGACGATTCCCCGAGACGCCCCAAGATGGCGTCAAACTGGCCCCCGAGGCTCCCAATACGCTTCAAGAGGGCTCTAATGGGACCCCCTGGAGAGCCCTGAGACGCCACACATTGCCCCAATCATTTTGCAAAGCGAACATTTTTATCACGTGCACTTCTTGGGTGCTCCCAGCGGTCACGGCGGCCCCACTGCCGTGCAATGTTTTAACACAGGCTTCCACTCGAGTCCAAGAGGCGCCCAAGGGAGCTCAAGACAGCCCTGGGAGACGCCCAAAGGGCCCAAGAAGGCCCCGGGAGACGCCCAAGACGGCCCCAGGAAGCTTCCAAGACGGCCCCACGCGCCCACGAGAACCCAAGAAAGCCCCCAAACCGTCCTGGAACTCTCCGAGGCGCCCCACAGAAGGCTCGAAGAGACTTCCGGAAGGCCTCCAACGCTTCATAGAGCTTTGCCGAACGCGCCCGAGAGACTTCCCAGCGACAGCCAGGGTTCCTTTTTTGGACTTCGTCTTGCCGTCGCCCCCGCGTAACCCTATCCGCGCCTGCCGCTCGCGCAGCACCTCGTTCCAGAGTGAGCCTTTTCGGAGAGAGCCAGGGCTAATTTTGTTTGGACTTCGCCTTGGCGTCGCCCCCGTATGACCCGACCCGTGCCGTGCCTGCCAGAAAATGCGCGGGTCTCTTTCTCCATCTGTGCTGTCCCCCGAAGACCCCCGAGAACGCCTCCGTTCCTCCGAGGATGCCCCCAGAACCTCCGCGGCCTCCATGTCCTAGCCGCTTCCCTTAAGCTCACCCCCAGCTCACCCCAGAAGCCTGAAACGAGCGTCTGCCCTAGCCCGACCCCGTTCCTACGCCTTTCCCGTGCGCCTCCCCATCGGCTTCCACCGTCAACCACTCTGCCTACCCTGGGCTTACCTTGAGCCCTCACACTCAGACACAGGCATGCTCTAGGCTTCCCTAGGTTGCCCCGCGGACCAACCCCCGAGGCTCACCCCTACAACGTTGGGCTTGCGCAGCCCTGCTCCTAAATATTCTCCAGGCCTAACACATCGGCTTACGGTAACCTCACCCCTAGCGTTGTCCTTAAGCTGACCATCGGCTTACCCAACAAACCTGAAGTTCGGGCTTGACCGAGGCCGACCCCATTCCCGGCCCTTTCCAGTGCGCCTCTCCGGTAGGCTTCCTCCTTGGGCCCGCCCCTTTGCCTACCCTGGGCTTGCCTTTAAGTTTTTCCATGGGCTTAGCTAGGCTTGCCCCTAGGGTGCACCCTGGAGTTTCCCTTAGGGAGATGTGCCGTGATGCTACCCGTGTACCTGACCCCAGACCTGGCATAGCCCTACTCCAAGGCTGCTCGCTAGGTTCCCTAGGCCTCCTGCCAGACCTTTTCCCGTGAGCCTACCCCTAGAGCCTCTCTGAGCGCTTGCCCCGGCGTTCGCCCAGGCCTTCCCTGGGTCAAAGCCTCGCCCTAGAGCGCTTCCGATCGTCGCCAAGACATGCTCCCAGAGACTCCACAACCCTGACCTACCATGGACCCACCTCTGCCCTTCCCATAGGATCCCTTTGCCTCCCGCACGGGCCTGCCCGTGGTCCTACCCAGAAGGCCTCCCCGCGCGCTGACCCCAGGCTTTCGCCTGGTCCTGCTTTAGGTTTGCGCCTAGAGCTTTTCCCTAGAGCTTCCGATTTTCCCAAGGCATGCTCCAAGAGACTGCAGAACTCGCGGAGCCACCGCCAGGCCCACTGAGACACGCGAGGGGGGAGGGGGACTTCGCACAGAGACCAGACGACTTTTGGGAGGGCGTCGGCATCTCAGGCAACATCTCCACATTGACATGTGCTCCTCGTCAGTGGGCCACCCTTAACTCGGCGCGCGAAGCGCGCTCTTAAAACCTTGTAGCTATGCACACGTATGCACATGTATGATCACATCTGTGACTATGAGGAGTGAGCAGTGCGCCCCACATCAACTATTATGGCCCCCAAACGCGCCTGGGTACACGAGGGGCACTAGAGGAACAACCACGGAATGAGCTCAAAGGAACAGCGAGCCCCTTCCGAACCCAAACGACTCTTTGTTTCATCATCTTGACTGTGCGCATCCACCGCCTGGAGAACAGATCTCCCAGGACCCCAGGGGAACAGTTGAGTTGGATGCACTTCGGCCCCATGACGTCCGAACATGTCAACATCCACGGCCTCCCAATGTCCAGGAAGATCGGTTCCCCAGGCGGTGGGTATGTACAAACCCCTGCCTCGGAAAGGGAGTATCTCAGTCAGAGGTCCTCCTCCTCCTACTCCTCCTCCTCCTCCTCCTCCCCCTGCCTCGTTCTCCACAACTTCTTGGCCTTCGCCCCCCCCCCCCCCCCCTTCCCCCCACCTCGTCGCCACGGCCAGGTGTTAGGGTGGCCGCCCTTCATTCCCACCTCCCTCTTCCCTTCCCATCCCCGCCTCCTGCCTCCTCCCCGTTTCCAGCTCCGGCTACACGCAAGTGGCCCTGGGCAAGATTGACCTTTGGTGCGCGACTTTTGGGGGGTCGCGGGGGGCCAAACCCAAGCGCGCAGGTCGCTACAATCGCATCGCGTTCTACCATTTGAGGATCCCAGGGTGCCTGCACCAATGGTCACTCCAACGAAAAGTCACTCTTTCGCGTTGCCGACCGCTCCATCCTGCCCCACTCGCTCCCAAGACCACTGGCACTGTGCGTGTGCTCACCACCTAGACTCGCGCAGGCCCCAACGCCCTCTCCGGGACCGGCTCCTCATCCCGAGAATCGCCCAACACCTTCCGCAGTGTTGAAAAATGTTGTCTGGGACACACACACACACATTGATGTACATCAGGAACAACCGATCGTGGGCTATGAACCTGGACACGTCGAAGTAATCCACCATCTGGCAAAACAAGGCTCCTGAAGAACAAGAACTGCCACTGGCATTCCAAGTCAAAAGGTTCGCCCAGCCGTCTGAACGCGGAAAGGTGTCCTCCCTCCACGCTCCCCGAGAGGCTCCCTTTGCCGCCAGCTTCGTGCCGAGCGCCCTGGGACGCGCGCCAAGAGGGAGGAGAAGGAGGAGGAGGAGGAAGAGGAGGAGGAGGAGGAGGAGGAGGAGGGGAAGGAGGAGGAGGAGGAGGAGCGAGGAGCGAGGAGCGAGGAGGAGAAGGGTGAGGAGGAGGAGGAGGAGGAGGAGAAGGAGGAGATAGAGGAACAGGCAGATGAGAGGAGGAGGAGGAGGAGGAGGAGGAGGAGGAGGAGGAGGAGGAGGAGGAGGATCAGCACGTGGTTGGGGGCGGAGTTCGATCCACCCTATGGCCTGTCGTCCTCCTGTTGGGACGGGGCCTGCTGCTGACGGGCTAGATATTCCGTCAGTCTGATTGGGGGGCACTTGTACCTGGAGGGGGTGGAACGAGTGCTTCTGGGGAGTTCCCCCTTGCAGAGCACATTCCACTGGGTTCGAGCACCTGGGCGCTTGAACCGTCCTCCACAGATTTCACTTAGGCCCACGACATTTGGTTCACTGTAAAGGCCGCACAGAGCACATGCAATCATGAAATGTGCACCTCTGGCCTCTTGGAAGACATATAGCTGATGGTCGAGAGGGTCAGCAGCTAGCACAGAAAAATCAATATGATGCCATGTGCAAGCTTCTTCTCTGCGGCTCGCAAAGCTGTTGGGTGCACATCTGGTCTTGCAGATGGCACAGATCCACTTCTCGTTCCTCCCCCACTCCCACACGTGGAGGAAGCGGGGGGGAGGAGGAGCCTCAGGGGCAGGAGGAGGAGGCGGGATCGGTTGCTGCCACACAACCTTCTGGCGGCGCCCTTGGAGGAGGAAGGGGAGGAGGAGGAGGAGGAGGAGGAGGAGGAGGAGGAGGAGGAGAAGGAGGAGGAGGAGGAGGAGGAGGAGCGAGGAGGAGCGAGGAGGAGCGAGGAGGAAGGAGGACCATGAGATCCGAGGTTGCAAGAAACTTGCAACATCGCAAGAATCACAACCGAAGCCCCGGAATCCATCTGTCTGCATACTTGTTCGAGGGTGAGGGTCCTGGGGCCCGAAAACGAACAAAAACGCTTATTGTAACAAAAATGCCTCGCCAGGATCTCAGGGGAGACGATGTCCTTTTGCCGCCAGCTTCGTGCTGAAGCACAGGGACACGTCCAGGGAGGGCTCCGCGCCGTGCCACAGCTCGCGCGCCAACCCGCCCAGCTCCTCGTCGGGAGACAGGTCCAGCACGGCGGCCACCGAGAGCGCGCGCTCCTGGCGGGGAGCCCGGCGGCTCACGCACGGCTCGAGGCTGCCTCCGCCCTCCGCCCTCCTCCGCCCCCCTCCTCCTCTCCCTCCAGCCCTCACTCCCCTCCAGGTGTGCTGTACTGTCCGTGATTGGCTTGATAATGCTACACCGTGTGAAGTACATACGGCGGACAAACTCTACACGCGGCGTCCATGTCGTGTCCTCGGGTATCAAAGTGGCGGGCAGACAGGATGCCTCAAGTTGTTCGTGCGAGTCGGGCAGGCAACCTTCGCTACGTTCTTTGATCTGATTTCGTCATTGGTCCCGCTCCCGCTCCCGCTCCGCCCCTCATCCCCTCATCGTCCCTCTCCTCCTCCTCCTCCCTCCTCCTCCTCCTCCTCCTCCTCCTCCTCCTACTCCTCCTCCTGCTGTCCTCCTCTTTCTCCTCCATCCCGATTCCTTGTATGAGCAACTCCTCCCTATCGCATCCCCAGACGTGTCGGTTGGGCGGGCCAGGCGTTTCGCCTGAGACTTCCTCACCAAGTATGATCCTGAAGCTTAGAATGTGCAACAGCTTCACGGATGGAGGGCGGGACGTTTGCAACATGTGCCTCTCGCGTCAGCGACACACATCTTCGTCTTAAAAGTGTGCAGGAGTTTCACAGGTAGAGGGCGCGCGGTGTTCAAATGTGTGTTTCGCCTTAACGCCGCGCACATGCGTCTCACTAGCTCACCAAGGGTTGTCAGGACGCAACAGTCACGTATATTCGCGGTGTCTATGTCCCAGGAATGGTGTTCTGGAATGTTTGAGGGTTCTCAGACAGTTGTCGTCCAATGGGGCACATCCCGCAATGAAACTAATGCCTTCAAGGGGCCGATGGAGAGGGAATTTGGAGACAGGGTGTATTACAACATCGTTGATGCGTCTTGGGTTGACACTGGTCATCCTCCCTCTCCCTCCCTCTCCATCCATCCATCCCTCCCGCACCCACCCCCACCCCACCCCCACCTTCTCCCTCCCGCTATCCCTCCTCCTCCTCTTCCTCCTCTTCTCCCTCCTTCCCCTCGTCTCCTCGGCAAGTGAAGGCCTCTCGCATCAACCCCCACGCCCTCTGAACTTCGTTGAGACCGCGGCGGCAGGTGATCGCAGTTCTCCTCTCATCGGGGTTGGAAGGCTGCGTGGCTGCACCAGAGCAGGTGAGTGTTCGCGGGCATGACCTCGTCGTACGTGTGTCGCCGCCTCGTTGGACCCCATCTCGGAACCCCTCCTCATCCTGACGCACCTCTTCCCCTCCTCCTCCTCCTCCTCCTCCTCCTCCTCCTCCTCCTCCTCCTCCTCCTCTTCGCGCGCGTACCTGTCGAGCCAAGCCTGGCGTGTCCAGGCGCACCGACGAGTCTTCCGACTCCCGAGATCACCCGAGGGCAAAGCGCACCGACGAGTCCTCCGATTCCTGGGATCATCCGCGAACTATGGAACAACTCATACGCCATGGTTTGGAAACTCTTTTTTTTTGAGGACCAGGGGCGCTCAAGGGGCTCCAGGTGTCCCATGCGGCAACACATGCAGACGACAAGCGACCACAGGCCCGTGGTAACCGTCCAAGGTGGAACAGTCACCCACAGCAGCAGGAACAGGGAGCAATGAGCACACTGCCTCGAGCGACTCGCAACTGAGGAGGGCCCCCGCCCAATCCAACAGTTCAACGCGAACGGCAGGCAGGCGCCACACCTCGCGTCAGGAAAGCAGCTAAGTACGCCTGGAAAAGTCGCGACCAAGCTTGGCCCAGACTCTGCGCGTAGCGGCATGCCGACGGGCAAGCACACGAAGACGGGCTTCAAAGTGTTGCTCAGGAGTTCCAGGGAGACGAAGGCGGAAATAATGATGAGTACTTATGAAGGCATCACAGAGCATAGCAGACAAAAGACAGCGGTCAGGTCCCATTCTCGGAAAAAGGAGGTACGAGTAGAGCCAGGGCAAGCCCTCAGAGGGGCTCGGAGTCCAAATACCCATACAACGAGAAGAGAGAGAACGAAGGGGTTCGCAACGACAATAGTGTTTGAGGTCGTCCAGATCATCCGTGCAAGAGGAACATCCCATGAAGCATCCCCGAGGAGCCGTATGAAAACGAGATGAGGTACAGAGGGAGCGGGACAGAAGCCGAAGAACCGCAAGAGGAAGATACATGTTGGTACGGGTCGCTAACGAACGAAGCTTCGGTACCAATCGCACCACGTCCAGTCTAGGGACTCCAGGAAGCCAGGCGCCATGGTTTGAAAACTCTTTCTTGAATGTATCATAAACAGGCGTACTCATTTTGGTGATAGACAGGCGTACTCATTTTGGTGCCGAATTTCCCAACAGAAAAAACTGGGAGATCAAGTAGACGGCGGCGAGGCGCAGCGGCATTGGCAGCCCGAAGTTCACAGCGGCCGCTTCCTGCCGATGCTCCGGGGGCCGCTCTCGCCTGCCGAGCTAGCCCTCACAGCGGCCACCACGGGCTTGCAGGCAAGGCCCGCGCCCTCCTCCTCCTCACCTTCTCCTCCTCCCCGAAAAGTTGTGGGGCGTTTTGTTGACACTGTTCGGAACTCTGGGGGGAAGGAGAGCCTCCACTCAACTCTGCCGCGCTCGCGCAGGTGTCTAGCGCTGCCTCGCCGACGAAGAAGACGCCGCTCCTGCTGGCCCAGGCAAGCGCCACTTGCAGCGTGGGGCCTGCCTTGCTCGCGTGCCCCTGCAAGCACACCGGCCGGGTGGGGCGGGGTCCGCGGCTGCTCCCAGAGCCAGCCCGAGAGCGACCGCGGCAGCCTGCTGCTCTTCATTGGGAGCCCTCTCTCAAAGGTGTGGGGAGGACGCGGCACAGACCCCTCGAAGGGCGTGCCGCGCGGCGCAGGAAGTCGCCGAAGAGGCGAACTCCGCGCGGGGGTGACGAGAGGGTGCTGGCGCGCTGTGCTTGGAGAAGCAAAAAAACAACCATTCACTTTCGGAGGTCTGCGCTGATTTCTTGGGTCGGCGCTGGATCCTCCCGGGCGCCGGCGCCGGAGGCGCCGCCAGAGGGCTCCAACGCCGATGCAATAAATCCGCGCGGACCTTCGACAGCTCATGTTTATGTTATCCTGTGATCCCCGAGGGGAGGGAGGAGAGGGTGCTGGTGCGCTGTACTGGACGGCGCTGACCGCCCAGCAACGGCCGGCGGATGCGAGATGCCGGCCCCGTGCCCCTTGCTGAGCGCGGCCCTCCTAGGTCCCCCCTGGACCAAGGCGCGCCTGAGCGCCACGGACGAGAAACCGAGAAACCGAGGGGGGCCTGGCGTATGGGGGAGGAGGGTGAAAGTCCGTGATCCTCGAAACGTGTGCTATCGCAAAAGTGCACTTGTCCTCCTAAGCCCTTCAGCACGACCTAAGCGGTGCACCACAGGCTGCGTGCTTTCGGCGGGGCTGAACGCGGCAGACACACGTTAGGCTAACACACGTCCTGAGGATCCTCGAGAAAGGGGGGGAGGGAAGGGGGTTCCACACCTCCGAATATCTGGGCGGATCAAAGCATAAGTATATGGCCAGACAGCGCCCGCAACGGAGCCTATATGATAAGATTCTTAAGCGTGCGCGTTTGCCCTTGCGGGGCGGACGCGCACATGGTACAGGTATGTCTGGGCGGCGCCGAACGATTCGGAAGCCCCTGGAGACTCCGATCTTCTCTTGAGCCGCCTGCCCCTGCAGCCCTCCTCGACCCTTTCCCCAAGACCGGCGCTGCACTCCGAGTCGTTCTCCGACGGCCCCGGGGCCCGAACCGGGCCCCGACAGTTTTCCGAACAATTAAGCTCCACACTGCACGCTCTCAACTGCCATGCGATCCAAAGAGTAGCCAAGCAAACCGGATGCAACCCACGAGCCGACCTACAATAAGCAAACTCATGAGATGAACCGTGGCCTGAGAGAGAAAGCGAGCGCGTGAAAGATAACGAATACAGAGAAGAGAACGGGAGAGGAAGGGAACGACCGCAACACATGTCGAGTAAACCGTGCACTGTGGCCAACGCGGCAGATCCCAAAAGCAAAAAAAGAACTGGCGAGAAGACGAGAGGGGAAGAAGAAGAGGAGAAAACATGAGAGCAACGAACTAGACCGGGCCTCAGATCGATGATCGGCCTGTACATCCAACATTCAAATACTGCCTACTGCTGGCGCGAGCCGGGAAGGACAAATCTGGTTCCACTGCGGAACCAAGGCCGAGCAAATCCGAGGAGGCGCGAGGAGGAAAGCACGAAAGCTCGCGAATGCGTAGACCAGCCAAGGCATAGCCTGGGATACTCGCACAAGTTCCCCACACGAGCGGAGGAGGGAGAGGAGGAGGAGGAGGAGGAGGAGGAGGACGAGGAAGAGGAGGAGGTGAAGGAGGAGGAGGAGGGAAGCAAATCATACAAAGGAACGCGACAACCTGCAAAACCAAGGCCGTGGGGCGTGAGCCACCGGACCTCACCGCTAGACGCGCATGCTCCCCAGAACGGCCAGGAGCAACCCTCGCGCGCACGGGCGCCCTAGAGCGCCCTTTAGGGGAAGACACCAGGCGCCCTAAAGTGCTGCACAGACAAAGCCTATAAAAATGAAGCTGCAAGAGAGACTGGGGGCGCTACTGATCTGGCCGCCAGCGCATGCGCGTGGAGCTGCACAAGGCAATGGCCTGGAAGTGGCCAAGAACTCCCTCGCAGACGTACCCGCCGAAGAGGTCCGAGGGGGGGCTCGCGGCGTGGCCGCCATGGCGCGTCAAAGTGTGCGTTGGAACAAAATAAAAACACTGAGCGCCGTTAGGGCGGCGGCATGTGGGCAGCACGCGGGGGGCACCCCGACTCGGAGGAGGTGTGAGGGGAAATGAGCAGGAAGTGTGCGAGGGCCGCGTCGTGGTCAGGGCGATCCAAGCTCAGGTGCCGAAGACAGAGGTCATGAAAGATGCGGCAGTGGCAGACTGCTGAATCGAGTCATCTGCCGTCGAGCACCCCAACACGAATCTCCCGTTTGGAATACCGCCTGGAAGTAACCCACCCAGCCATTCAGATTAGCCCGTAAGGTCGCCGCCAGCACCCGAAGAGACCCGGAGAGGCATCAACGCTTTGATACTCTCCATGTTCTGGTCAAGTCGCTGGTAACGGCGCCTGGGAGGGACATCGAGGCGCCATCAAAGTGCACTCGCCTACCACCCCTCTCGGCGAGCCTCCTCGGAGGCGGGGTCGACGAGGGGCCAGGCAGCCTCGCTTTGAGGCTTTGAGCCATGGGGTCCCACATGTGTTTTCCAAGGGATAGCAAGAAGGTGGATTGCGACCGTGACCCAAGCCTGCGGATACCGCCGACGTCCCGCATGGCGTCCCGTAGGGCAGCAGCCCTGCGCATCACCTACAACTCACCCGTCTGGTGGGCCTCGTGAAGCACGACCTGGGATTTGGCCACCGAGGCGATGTGCGCCATGTCCAAGAGATCGCGGGGGAAACCGAACAGCTTGAGAGATGTCAGAATGTTACCTGGGAGCCAATCTGAAAGGCCAGGACAGAGCTTCTGGATCATGCGTTTCTCGAAGCGGTCGAAAACCGCAAGGAGAGCTACCAGCTGTGACACGAAAGAGGCCACAGAAACGATGAACATATGATACGCCTCCACGGTGCGCATCCTTCTGGCGCCGATGAGCCCTCCATACCGAAGCCCGATCCTCTATCATCTTGAACACTCGGTCCCAAAATGTGTCCCCAACCAAGACCTACATGAAAACCCACATACTTGGCGGAACCTGCAATCTCCAGACCGTCTTGCCGACGTTCACGGCCAAACCAACGATGCGAGCATACTCCGAGAAACGACGCTCCAGGAGGGGAAAATTGACCATGAGGTCAGGGTCCACTAGGGCAGTGTCCTCCGCGCAAGCCCGCAGAGCAATGAAGGGAACATCACGGCGTAAGCGTCCAAGAATAAGGCCCGCGGCAGCAGCGAAGAGGAGGGGAGAAAGAGGTCAACATTGATGAATACCTCGATGAACTCCGAAGCCGCTGTAGCGGCAACCGTTCATAACAATGTCGCGATCAATCCCCCTGCACATCGCGTCGAAAATGTTCTGGAGCCATCTGAACCACACAAGGGATCGGAAGACGGTCTTCAGGACACGATGTTCGAGGACGCGGCCACGAAGTCGAAAATCATGTCGCCCCCCTCGTGCGAAGTACAAGCTGGAAAGATCGTTGTTTCCTCGATATCCACAAGATTCGCCAGCATGGACCG